GCCTGTTTTTGCCATGTAAATGCCAAACCACTGCGCCACAATCATGCGCATTGCGGTCAGTTGTGGCACAATCCTAATTGCTTGAATGTGGACAGATCATTTTTGTGGCAGCTGCCACGTGTGACTACCCCCATCTGCTGCCTTTGCAGCTTAAAGGGGAGCAGTAGGCGTATGATAATTACTCCTCAACCCTGTGTGTTTACCTCCCCCAATCACAAGGAGCCCCTAGAAGAACTCTGCCAGCATTTGCCACTGGCCACACATTCTACACTCACATAGTGGTCTCTGCGAGGCTTACCCACGTGTCACAGATGGGCTTCCGGGGCTGCTGCAGGTCAGAATGTGACGCACATGTTCCTTATCTGTCAAACATGGCAAATTAAAGACAAAATGTGTTTTCATGGCCGGTAAAGTTGAGCTCCGGGCACAACAATGTCAATTTAAATACATTCCCCAACAGCCATGCAGGACATAACTCCACTCTGTGTGCACCAAATGACTTTGCAAACCCAGATATTACCTTGTAAAAGGAGCAGTGACACCATCACTGTACTGTACATAGAGCAGAGCTGTGGGTGGGACCCTGAAGGCTTAACCCACTACAGAAAACTACAGAACCAGACCAGTCTCCCTGCACAAGGAGAGAGAGCAGCAGTGAGCGGTCTTTATTACAGGAAGTCTCACACTGGATGACTACACAGATCTGGAAGAAATACACAAAGCACACCGAGATTCAGGAAGAATACACAGGAGGAATGGATGGATTTAGACCAGTGGTCCACAAACTGTGGCCCCGAGGCCAGATGTGGCCCTTTACTTGCCTCTATCTGGACCTTGGAGCACTATTCCACCAATTGACACCAATGATGGGGCACCATTCCTCCTATTGACACCATCAATGGGGCACTATTCCTCCTACTGACACCAATGATGGGCCACTATTCCTCCTACTGATACCAATCATGGGGCACCATCCCTCATACTGACACTGATGATGGGGCACCATTCCTCCCATTCCTCCTACTGACACCATAAATGGGGCACCATTCCTCCCATTCCTCCTACTGATACCAATCATGGGGCAGCATTCTTCATACTGACACTGATGCTGGGGCACCATTCCTCCTACTAACACCAATGATGGTGCACTATCCCACCAACTGACACCAATGATGGGGCACCATTCCTCATATGGACACCGATGATGGGGCACCATTCCTCCTACTGACACCAATAATGGTGCACTATTCCTCCTACTGACACTAATGATGGGGCACCTTTCCTCCTTCTGATGAGACACTATTCCTCCTACTGACACCAATGATGGGGCACCATTCCGCCTACTGACACCAATGATGGGGCACCATTCCTCCCACTGACACCGATGATGGGTCACCATTCCTCCTACTGATACCAATGGTGGGGCACTATTCCTCCTACTGACATCAATGATGAGACACTATTCCTCCTACTGACACCAATGATGGGGCACCATTCCTCCTGCTGACACCAATGATGGGGCACCATTCCGCCTACTGACACCAATGATGAAACACTATTCCTCCGACTGACACCAATGATGGGGCACCATTCCTCCTACTGACACCAATGATGGGGCACCATTCCTCATAATGACACCAATGATGGGGCACCATCCTCCTACTGACACCAATGATGAAACACTATTCCACCTACTGACACCAATGATGGGGCACCATTCCTCCTACTGACACCAATGATGGGGCACCATTCCTCCTACTGACACCAATGATGGGGCACCATTCCTCATAATGACACCAATGATGGGGCACCATTCCTCCTACTGACACCAATGATGAAACACTATTCCACCTACTGACACCAATGATGGGGCACCATTCCTCCTACTGACACCAATGATGGGGCACCATTCTTCATATGGACACCGATGATGGGGCACCATTCCTCCTACTGATACCAATAATGGTGCACTATTCCTCCTACTGACACCAATGATGGGGCACCTTTCCTCCTACTGACACCAATGATGGGGCACCATTCCTCCCACTGACACCAATGATGGGGCACCATTCCTCCTACTGACACCAATGATGGGTCACCATTCCTCCTACTGACACCAATGATGGGGCACCATTCCTCATAATGACACCAATGATGAAACACTATTCCACCTACTGACACCAATGATGGGGCACCATTCCTCCCACTGACACCAATGATGGGGCACCTTTCCTCCTACTGACACCAATGATGGGGCACCATTCCTCCCACTGACACCAATGATGGGGCACCATTCCTCCTACTGACACCAATGATGGGTCACCATTCCTCCTACTGACACCAATGATGGGGCACCATTCCTCATAATGACACCAATGATGAAACACTATTCCACCTACTGACACCAATGATGGGGCACCATTCCTCCTACTGACACCAATGATGGGGCACTATTCCTCCTACTGACACCAATGATGGGGCACCATTTCTCCTACTGATACCAATGATGGGGCACCATTCTTCCTACTGATTCCAATGATGGGGCACCATTCCTCCTACTGACATCAATGATGGGGCACCATTGCTCCTATTGACACCAATGATGGGGCACCATTCCTCATACTGATACCAATGAGGGAGCACCATTCCTCATACTGATACCAATGATGGGGCACCATTCCTCCCACTGATACCAATGATGGGGCACTATTCCTCCCACTGACACCAATGATGGGGCACCATTCCTCATACTGATACCAATGATGGGGCACCATTCCTCCTACTGATACCAATGATGAAACACTATTCCTCCTACTGACACCAATGATGGTGCACTATTCCACTAACTGACACCAATGATGGGGCACCATTCCTCCTACTGACACCAACGATGAGACACTATTCCTTCTACTGACACCAATGAAGGAGCACCATTCCTCCTATTTACACCAATGATGGGGCACCATTCCTCCTACTGACACCAATGATGGGGCACCATTCCTCCTACTGACACCAATGATGGGGCACCATTTCTCACACTGATACCAATGATGGGGCACCATTCCTCCTACTGACACCAATGGGGCACTGTATCAGGGCATTTGCTCCTTCCACTGACCACCGTCTGGCCCTCCTAAAGCCTAAAGGTCAGTAAATTGGCCCCTTGCTTGGAAACCCCTGATTTAGACAATACTTGCTGATCCCGGAGTTCAGTCTCAATAGGAATTTTGGAGGAGAGAATTGTGCTGCAGATTACACATTGCTGCAGGTGAAATTTTTTAATAAAGAGCGGAGAGCGGTTTGTTAACGTTTCCTTTTGTTTTCCTGCCTGTCGTTCTGCAATCTGTCAATTCTAATAATTCTGCTGCCATCTGCTGGGGATTATGCTCTTTATTCAAACACAAAACAATGGCAACAGTCAACAGTGCGCAGGCTGAGCGTGCATCCTCACCCCGCCGCAGCAAATTCCCCCGCAGATTCTAATGCAACTTTTCCAACCTCTTTGTTTCATCAGCTGACGGATAATTGGAGGAGCCACGATGGGAATGCCGAACTGAAGAAAAGAAGAGAAAAAGAAGAAGAAAAAGAAGAATATGAAAAAGAAGTGGAAAAAAAGAAGAAGAAAAAGAAGGAGAAGAAGAGGAAGAAGAAAAAGAAGATAAAGAAGAAGAAAAAGAAGCAAAAGAAGAAGAAGAAAAGAAGAAGAAAAAGAAGATGAAGAAGAAAAAAAGAAAAAAAAGGAGAAAAAGAAGAAGAAGAAGGAGAAGAAAGGAAGAGGAAGAATATGAAAAAGAAGAAGAAAAAGAAGAATATGAAGAAGAAGAAGAAGAAGAAGAAGAAGAATATGAAGAAGAAGAAGAAGAAGAAGAGGAAGATAATGAAAAAGAAGAAGAAGAAGAAAAGAAGATAATGAAAAAGAATAAGAAAAAGAAAAGAAGGAGAATATGAAGAAAAAGAAGAAGAAAAAGAGGAAGAAGAGGAAGAAAAAGAAGGAGAAGAAAAGAAGAAAAAGAAGAAGAGGGAGAAGAGGAAGAATATGAAAAAGAAGAAGAAGAATATGAAAAAGAAGTAGAAAAAGAGGAAAAAAAGAAGAAAAAGAAGAAGAAGAAGAGGAAGGAGAAGAAGAAGAATATGAAAAAGAAGAAGAAAAAGAAGAAGGAGAAGAAGAATATGAAAAAGAAGATGAAAAAGAAGAAGAAGAAAAAGAAGAGGGAGAAGAAGAAGAATATGAAAAAGAAGAAGAAAAGAAGAATTCCAGTTCACTATTATATTTTATATGAAAAGTCTTGCGGTTGCAACAATGTATCCATTTGTATCCAAATAAAAACATCTGTATCCGACATGGATACAAATGGATACAATATAATAGCGGAGCTCTCTGCAGGGACAGAAGTAATTATGGGGTTAAATGCCGGCCGTAGACGGGACGAAAATCATCCTATTTTGTTACTGTTGGTGGTAACGTCGGCCGATCTAACAACCGATTTTTATATTTTTTTAATTAAAAAATGGCCGGTTTTCGACCCATATTTGGCCTGCATAAGCAATGTGTCAGACTAACAATTCCAGGTACCTCTCAAAGCGATCACAATACACCCCCTTGAAAATGCCTTCATCTGCTTTTCTCTCCAGAAGGACAGCTCCATCTTTGTTCAGGCATCATCCAGGGTCACCGTTTACTTTCTGGGATGAGATGCCAACTCACATTCATGTCAGTTCTGGTGCCTGTGCTGTCCTTGGATGTGTTCACAAATGTCTGACATAGATCAGCCCCTGCTTGCAGCCTCTCTCACCTTGTTACTTGCTACAAAGTGACAATGTACAGTCTGATCACTGGGGGGAGGGGTGACTGAGGAAATGCTTTCTCTGGCCTGCAGCAGACTGATGACATCATTTCAGCATAGGCAGCAGACAGGGGCTCAAGAACAGAAAGCAATTGGTGGAAAAATATCTAAAAGTCTCAAGACAGACAGCAACAACTACCCACCTCATTTTTTTTTTTAACTTTCTTACCTTATCTGGAGCTTAAATGGACCATTACCCTAAACTAAATGAACATTTCCCCCCACATTTGAATATTAATATTAATTTTTAAACTAAGAACTAAAAAAAAATTGCTAGGGCTCTATCGAATGCAGGGGCGGACTGACTATTTGGAAACTCAGCACTGCCCTAGGCCCCGGGGTCAGTAGGGGGCCCCATGAGATGCCCCTGATACCTTTTTCATAGGCTTTTTTGAGTTTGGGCAAGGACACAGGGGCCCCATGATCCCCTATTGCCCGGGGGGCCCCATGAGTTGTCAGTCTGCCCCTGATTAAATGTTAAAAAAACATAGCTAGCACAATACCAGAGTACAAGTGATGCACCGATATATCAGCGGCCGAAACGTATCGGCAGAAAATACTCGTGTCAGCATTTCGCCGATAGGAAAAAAGGTGTCAATAATGGTGCTGAAAATGTTTTCTCTGTTTTTATTATAAAATAAATTTGTCAAGGAAACTCAGATGCAATATTGCGTCGCATAGACTTCCATGCAAAATCATGTCCCATAGACTGTAATCCACAAACACCCCCTAGTGACTTCAATGCAAAATCGCATCCCATAGACTTTCATGCAAAATCATGTCCCCCATAGACTTCAATGCAAAAACACCCCCTAGTGACTTTAAAGGATAAGTTCACCTTTTTGACCAAAAAAAAGGTAAAAAAAAAAATACAGGGCAATCAGAAGAAAACCCGTAAGGATTCATGTACACGAGCAGCTCCTAATCTAAACTGCATAAAAGCTTACATGTCCATATACACACAGGCATTTAGCAGAGTTTAGTTTATTAATGGGAGGAATAATGCCCCATTATTGGTATCAGTGGGAGGAATAGTGCCCCATCACTGGTGTCAGTGGGAGGAATAGTGCCCCATCACTGGTGTCAGTGGGAGGAATAGTGCCCCATCATTGGTGTCAGTGGGAGGAATAGTGCCCCATCAATGGTGTCAGTGGGAGGAATAGTGTCCCCCATCATTGGTGTCAGTGGGAGGAATAGTGCCCCATCATTGGTATCAGTCAGTGGGAGGAATAGTGTCCCATCACTGGTGTCAGTGGGAGGAATAGTGCCCCATCACTGCTCAAGTGGGAGGAATAGTGTCAGTGGGAGGAATAGTGCCCCATCACTGGTGTCAGTGGGAGGAATAGTGCCCCATCATTGGTATCAGTCATTGTGTCAGTGGAGGAATAGTGCCCCATCATTGGTGTCAGTGGGAGGAATAGTGCCCCATCATTGGTATCAGTGGGAGGAATAGTGCCCCATCATTGGTGTCAGTGGGAGGAATAGTGCCCCATCATTGGTATCAGTGGGAGGAATAGTGCCCCATCATTGGTGTCAGTGGGAGGAATAGTGCCCCCCATCATTGGTATCATGGGAGGAATAGTGCCCCATCATTGATATCAGTGGGAGGAATAGTGCCCCCATCATTGGTATCAGTGGGGGGGGAATTGGTGTCCCATCATTGGTATCAGTGGGGGGAATAGTGCCCCATCATTGGTGTCAGTGGGAGGAATAGTGCCCCATCATTGGTGTCAGTGGGAGGCCCCAATGGTATCAAGTGTCCCATCATTGCTGTCAGTGGGAGGAATAGTGCCCCATCATTGGTGTCAGTGTAAGAAATAGTGTCCGATTGCTGTTGGTGTCAGTCATTGGTGGGAGGAAAATAGTGCCCCAAGGGCTGCATCAAGGCTAGCAAAGAGCCACATCTAGCCCTCGGGCCGCAGTTTGGAGACCCCTGATTTAGATCAAAGCATCTTCATGTGTTAGAATGGCCCAGTCAAAGTCCAGACCCAAATCCAATGGAGAATCTGTGGCAAGACCTGAAAATTGCTGTTTCCAGATTCTCTCCATCCAATCTGACAGAGCTTGAGCGATCCTGCAAAGAAGAATGGGCAGAAATGTCCCTCTCTAGATGTGCAAAGCTGGGAGAGACGTCCCCAAAAAGACTTGCAGCTGGAATTGCAGTGAAAGGGGGTCCTACAAAGTATTGACTCGGGGGGGGGGGGGGGGATGAATACAAACGCACTCCACACATTTTGGATATTTATTTGTAAAAAATGTAGAAAACCATTTCTCAGTTTCCTTCCACTTCACAATTATGTACCACTTTGTGTCGGTCTATCACATCAAATCCCCATAAAATACATTGTAACATGACAACATGGGGGACATTTCAAGGGGGTGTGAAGACTTTTTCAAGGCCCTGTATTCTCTTCCCCGGTTCAATTGGTTCCTAACCGCCTCCTCGCAGCAGATGTGACGACCCTCTGACCCTCTTCTCTGTGTGTTGTTTTCAAACAAGAGAAATTATCTGTGTACAATCATTGTCACAGGGAAACGTAAGGTCCTGAAGAAGTGGGTTTCTCACGACGAAACGCGTTGACAGCAAACCCATGACGTGTAATATAACAAAAATTTTGATTTGGATTGTTATTCCACTTAGATGGATATTGTGATAAAAAATCTTTTTGTAAATAAACATTTATACTTTTTTATAGGTGTAACTTTTTGCTTTATTACCGGCGAGTCACCCAGATCACCCCCTTTTTTTTCTTTACTTTGTGTTTCCATTTTGGGGTCATTGCTGACTCCCTAGTAAATTCCTTGATCCTGTTCATATATATATGAAGATTGCTATATATATATATATATAATATATGGCATATATATATATATATATATATATATATATATATATTTATATATGTGCTATTTTATGTTGTGATTAGATATATATAGTGAGTGTGCATATATATATATATATATATATATAAGGGGTTCACATATTTTTATAATATATATACTATATATAAATATATATATATATATATATATATACGTATATATATATATATATATATATATTTTTTTTTAATATATATATACATATATATTTTTAGTATTTATATATATTTTTTATATATATATATATATATATATGTGTGTGTGTGTGTGCATATATATATATATATATATATATATATAGTTTTGTTCATTATATTGCAGCTTAACAATCATTAGATGCGGCGGCTGCATGCCTTTTCTTTTCTAGGCTTTGTTCCTTCTGTTTTCCCCTGGTGATCTGGCTGGTAACACACCTCCTGTATTAGAGCGCCCCCACTCTGGATGAAGGAGCACAGGAGGCACCTTTGGACAGCAGCATTGTCAGTTTGGTCGGAGGGGGGTGTTAGATGGACTAGCAGGTTTTAACACACTAAGCCAAATCTCAGCTCGCACTTTATAATCCGTTACAGCAAAAAAGTTTTTTTTGGGATAAAGGTTTTACAGAAATAAATAAAAGCTGATCATTATAAGCACCCCTGTCAGAGGTAAGTGGTTTGTCTCATCCCTGTAAACTGATACATCCTGCAGGAGAGCTTGTGCTTTTGAAAAACAACAGACTTACTGGCCAGATCACCAGATAAAAATAGAGGAAAGGAAGCCTAGAAAAGAAAACTAATGCGGCCATCACATCTAAGAATTAGTAAGCTGCAATATAATAAATCAATATAATATAAGCGTCCTGGTGGGGGGTATCATTCGGTGAATCCGGCCCCACATTTCCGTACAGAGATATGTTTTTCGGACAGTTATCTGGCTATGTTCAGTGCGGACGCCTCCTGTCACAACACCCGGTAATAGGCGAGGAGCCCCTGGCGCCGGGAGATGAGGACAGACACTTGACTCGGTGTGTTTTAGGTACATGGAGAGACCTTCGTAGTCTCCGCTGCCCGCTGATCTCTCGTTACCGTCTCTTAGTAATGATGGGCAGCTTTTGAACTGCAGTAAATGAGGCCAATCAAGATTACTTTCATTTCATTAATTCAAGAGCATACTTATATTTTCACCAGTGCCGCTAATTCCCCTCTGGTCCTGAATTATTCTGCAGCGATTATACGCAATACCCTTTATTCTAATGGATATCGGGAGCTTCAACTTCCTCGCTGTAAAACCTTTAAAGGGACATTCAACTCTCAAATGGAGTTTACATGTTCTCCTTCTGCAGCACCGGGGTCTGTGGTCTGAGTCCCGCTCAGGACACTATCTGCATGGAGATTGCTTGTGCTCCTCTTGCAGCACCGAGGTCTGTGGTCTGAGTCCCGCTCAGGACACTATCTGCATGGAGATTGATTGTGCTCCTCTTGCAGCACCGGGGTCTGTGGTCTGAGTCCCGCTCAGGACACTATCTGCATGGAGATTGATTGTGCTCCTCCTGCAGCACCGAGGTCTGTGGTTTGAGTCCCGCTCAGGACACTATCTGCATGGAGATCGATTGTGCTCCTCCTGCAGCACCGGGGTCTGTGGTTTGAGTCCCGCTCAGGACACTATCTGCATGGAGATTCGATTGTGCTCCTCCTGCAGCACCGAGGTCTGTGGTTTGAGTCCCGCTCAGGACACTATCTGCATGGAGATCGATTGTACTCCTCCTGCAGCACCGGGTCTGTGGTTTGAGTCCCGCTCAGGACACTATCTGCATGGAGATCGATTGTACTCCTCCTGCAGCACCAGGGTCTGTGGTTTGAGTCCCGCTCAGGACACTATCTGCATGGAGATCGATTGTACTCCTCCTGCAGCACTGGGGTCTGTGGTTTGAGTCCCGCTCAGGACACTATCTGCATGGAGATTTCTTGTACTCTTCCTGCAGCACCGGGTCTGTGGTTTGAGTCTCGCTCAAGACACTATCTGCATGGAGTTTGCTTGTACTCTTCCTGCAGCACCAGGGGCTCACTGACCATTAGAGCACTCCGGCACTGCCTGAGGGCCCAGGGTCAGTAGGGGGCCCCATGAAATGCCCATGGTACCTTTTATAGGCTTTTATGGGTGTGCTTTGAGTGTGGTGAAGGACACAGGGGCCCCATGATCCCCTATTGCCCGGGGGCCCCATGAGTTGTCAGTCCTCCACTGTGCAGCTCCGGGGTCTGTGGTTTGAGTCCCGCTCTGGACACTATCTGTATGGAGATTGCTTGTACTCCTCCTGCAGCACCGATGTCTGTGGTATGAGTCCTGCTCAGGACACTATCTGCATAGAGTTTGCATGGTCTGCTCTTAAAGCACTGGGGTCCTTGGTTTGAGTACAATTCAGGAAATATCTGCATGGAGTTTGCATGTTCTCCCTGTGCTTGCATGGGTTTACTCCAGATACTCTGGTTTTCTCCAAAGACATGCTATTAACTTAATTGGCCCTAGTCTGTTAGGTAATTAGGACCTTGGAGTTTGCATGCTCTCCTCTTGCAGCACTGGGGTCCTTGGTG